GGAGGTTCTTTAGAAAACTAAAAATAGAACTACATATGACACAGTAATCCCACTACTGGGCATATACCCTGAGAAAACCATAACTCAAAAAGTGTCATGTACCACAATGTTCATTGCAGCTCTATTTACAATAGCCAGGACATGGAAGCAACCTAAGTGTCCGTCAACAGATGAATGGATAAAGAAGAGGTGGCTTATATATACGATGGAATATTACTCAGCCATAAAAGAAAATGAAATTGAGTTATTTGCAGTGAGGTGGATGGACCTAGAGACTGTCATACAGAGTGAAGTTAATCAGAAAGAGTAAAACAAATACCATATGCTAACACATGTATATGGAATCTTAAAAAAAAAAAGTTTCTGAAGAACCTAGGGCCAAGACAGGAATACAGACTCCGATGTAGAGAATGGACTTGAGGACATGGGGTGGGGGAAGGGTAAGCTGGGACGAAGTGAGAGAGTAGCATTGACATATATACACTATCAAATGTATAGCTAGCTAGTGGGAAGCAGCTGCATAGCACAGGGAGATTAGCTCAATGCTTGTGACCACTTACAGGGGTGGGATAGGGAAGGTGGGAGGGAGACGCAAGAGGGAGGGGGATATGAGGACACAGGTATATATATAGCTGATTCACTTTGTTATACAGCAGAAGCTAACACACCATTGTAAAGCTATTATATGCCAATAAAGATGTTTAAAAAAGATGAAACAGATAAAAACAAACAAACAAAAAAACAAGAACAACAACAGAAACAAAATGCACAGGCCAGAAATCACAAGTAATAACAAAGAAATATCAATCTCTAGGTATGTCTTCCCCAAAAGAGGTTCAGCTGTAAAAACAACAGCCTATGGTAGTAATGTGTTAACAAACTCCCTTTCCTCTTTTCCCCACCCAGCCAAATTCTCTACCACCCAAGGAGACTCCGAAATCACACCAGCTACTTATTTACCCTCTAATTAATTAAAATTCAATCATTAAACTTTTCCATTCCTCAGTTATACAGTCCACCTTTCAACTGCTCAGTGGCCACGTCTGGTTGTCGACTGCCTACTGGCCAGCACAGGCAGAGAACATGCCCATCACTGTAGGGAGTTCTAGTGGACAGTGCTGATCTCCAGAGATGCTCTTTTGCCAAACTTCAAAACTCTGTAAAAGAAGCTCACCTTGTTTTTCTCTCTCTCATCCTTACACTCCCAACAATCTTCTTATTATGCAAATCAGTTTAGCCTCTCAGGTTTTTCTTTTTTCTTCACTTAGTCAATTACCAGATTTCACATTACAAAGACACTTAGGAACTGAGACAGCCGGCATGAATCCTCTTCTGCATAGCTTTCTCTGAATTCTGTAATTCTGCACATAGAAATTTCTCTGTAATTCCAGACATGTTCTAAGGGAGAGATACATGAAAATGTGCATCAGTTATGTCCCAGGGCAATGGCCATGTTTGCCAGCTTTCACTAAACATAGAAGGTAGTAGGTGTGTGGTTTAAATAGACTGTCAGGTGCTTCTCACTTTGAGCACAGGACCACGCACTGAACTTGCACCAAAAAGTAGGTGTTAGCACTAAATAAATATGCACTACTTCATGACTGAGTACATGATTCTCCCAGTTACTGTGAGTTGTCAGAAGGTCTATGTGCTTGTCAGTTACCTCTGTGCTTTCAAGTGTGTTCTGGACTCTTCCCTGGAACCTTGCCAACTGGCTTCCACCAGGGGTGTGGTCACTGGAAGGCATGGATGGGAGACCTGAGATGACACCCCTTCCTCATCTCCCTTTCAGGCCACGTTTCCAGCATTACCTGCATCTCCTCTACCTTGCTGGCTACCATTAGATAGGCCCTCCTTCCACAGATCCAGCTTCTGCTCGATGGTCCAGCTGGTACTAACACCTCCTTTTGTCCCTCTCTCCCAGTGGTGTGCTGGTAAATGCTTAGCAACCGGTTCTCTTGGTGGGGAGAAAGTTCTGATTTGAAATGTTTGCCAATGTCTGTGGTGTAAATACTTATACCCAGGCTAGCAAAATTCCTGAAGATTTAACAGTTGACTCTCTCAAGCCTCTACAAGCTAGCTTCAGTATATCACTGCTCTACCCTAAGTCAAGTAGCAGCTTTCAGTTGTTAATCTCTGGGTTTCCTCACAGTTCCTACTTAGTTTCTCAAGATTCCCAACTCCTTCGTTATTAGTTATTGAATAAAATCTTTTCTATTAGCTACCTGGTGTGGGCTCTGTTTTCCAAACTATATCCTAAATGTATAGTCTTAAGGTTAAAATTTATTAGAGAAGTGCTTCTCAAAGTTCCACAGTATAAATCAGTCATATCACTAAGCATGCTGGAAGTTCAGCTGACACTTTAAAGAGTAAGACTTTCTAGATGAAGGAAGTAGTGAATCAGTTTACAATGTGGCACAAGCTTCTTATCTCATTGTGCACTGGTAACAAAATGTTTGCATGCTGGTAGCTGTGGGCAAACACACTTTAAGTAACTCTGTAGAAAAGCATTTTGGAAAAGCAATTTGGCAAATGTATCAAAAGCCCCCAAAATGTCTTATCCTTTGTTCCACTAGTTCCACTTTGACAGACTATCTCCTGGGAACTCATCCAAAAAGAAGGGAAAAGCCTTATGCTCAAAGATGTTTACTGCAGCGTTATTTAAAATAGGGTAGGTTTTTGTTTTTGTTTTTGTTTTTTTGCGGTACACAGGCCTCTCACTGTTGTGGCCTCTCCTGTTGCGGAGCACAGGCTCCGGACACATAGGCTTAGCGGCCATGACTCACAGGCCCAGCCACTCCATGGCATGTGCGATCTTTCTGGACCGGGACATGAACCCGTGTCCCCTGCATCAGCAGGCGACTCTCAACCACTGCACCACCAGGGAAGCCCAAAATAGAGTAGTTTTGAAAGCAACTTCAAAGTGAAAAAAATTATTAAATAAATCTGCTTGATGGGATATTATGCAGTCTTAAAAATTATAATTATGAATATTATAACAATATGGAAAAAATATACTACTAAGTAATAAAATTAGGAAAGAAAATTTTATGTGCATGATAAGTATCATGTAAGAATATGAATGCCAGAAGGAAAATACTGAAAAGAAATATATACAAATAATAAATAAATTATGTAAGGGGGTATCAGGAGATGAAGTCTTTTCCTCTAATTATCCAAGACGGTCCTATTATCCTAATGTAGATATTCCATTTAGTTTTGTTAAACAAAAAATAAAAGACAGTAAAGCCCACCAACAAAGTCATGGAGAATATTTGGAAGGGAAAAAAAAGATATTACACATTAAGATGTCTGTGAATGCTGTTTTATATTTATAATATAAGACCTGGATGAGCTGGAAGTTAAATGAAGATCCCCTATCTGCCATCTGTCATTCATCCCCTCATGCGTGTAATGTTGCCTTCTCACCTGAATTTCATCTGTTTACCAACTTCTATCAAACCACCCTTTCAGAGAAGTGGCTTTTATCACATATGTACAGGTAAGTAAACATGCTACCTGTGAGGTCTTCTGAGCCTTCTTCCTGCTGTGGAGTGAAGACGTTGGCCCCTAGAGGAGCACCTGTCAGCTCCTTGCAAACAGATAGAAGAAGGACTCAAGTCTATCCTCAGGGATCCAAACAAGGTATTTGTCTGCACTTGATCTACTCAGTATGGATTCAAACCCTTCACCCAAATTCCACTGGGCATCTGGTTCCTTTAGAGACAATAACAACTGCTTCCTTGGCTGCACCCCCTGTTCCTCCCTCTCCTGCCTTCGACCTGAGACCAGATCTTTAAAAACATTGCTAACTTAGACCATGTACCAAGAACAAAAATTAAAAACAACAACAAGCAACCCAAAACTTAAACTCATCCAATTTGTTTCAACTTTTAAATAAACATACAAAACCCAACTTCAGAATTCAACATGCAATATTGCCACACAAACCACCAAAGACCACACCAATGGCCACCATAAGTATAAAACAGCAATAAAGAGCTCAGGCCCTGGAGCTTGACTGAGAAATATTAGATTTTCCACTTACCTAATCTTTCTGTTTCCTCACCTGTTTCCCCATAGGATTGTTGTATGGACAAAATTAGTTATTTTACATAAAGCACTTAGAACAGCACCTGACACTTGATAAGCACCCAATAAAGTTTAGCTAATATTAAGTTCTCACTCCAAAAAATAAATGTGTGATGTGGCCCCTGTAAGGCAGTCCCTGTTGCCCATCTCCAGGGGCTACTATGTCTAAAATGAGCACACAAATTAAGGGTAAATGTCAAAATATCCACAGTATTAAAACATCATGATATGGATGTTGATGAATGGATAAAGAAGATGTGGTATATATATACAATGGAATATTACTCAGCCATTAAAAATAATTAATTAATGCCATTTGCAGCAATATGGATGGACCTGGAGATTATTATACTAAGTGAAGTAAGTCAGACAGAGAAAGAGAAATATCATGTGATATCACTCATATGCGGAATCAGAAAAAATTATATAAATGAACTTATTTACAAACAGAACCAGACTCACAGACTTAGAGAATAAACTTATGATTAGCACAGGAAAGGGTATGGGGGCAGGATAGACTGGTAGTTTGAGATTGATATGTACACACTGCTATATTTAAAACAGATAACCAACAAGGACCTACTGTATAGCACAGGAACCTCTGCTCAATATTCTGTGATAACAGAAATGGGAAAAGAATTTGGAAAAGAACAGATACATGTATATGTATAACTGAATCACTTTGCTGTGCACCTGAAACAATCACAACATTGTTAATCAACTATACGACAATATAATATAAAATTTTTTAAATAAATAAAAATCATGATATGAACAGAAATGTGATCATTTTCATTTCTAGAATTTTCCATCTCACCGAAATAAACAACCTGAAGACAGGAAATGCCCAAATATTTTCAAATCACTCCTCCCGCCATGCTTCTGTCCATTTCACTGGACATGCCTACCTCGAACCACTGCCCGTGGGACTGCATCTTGAGGATGACACAGGGGTCTGGTTTGGAAAGGGCATCTCTGTCGGAAATGCCTTTGCATGCCACACGCAGCTCAACTTTGGTCAGGCAGGGGCTGTTAAAGATTCCCAGTGTATTGGCAGCTGACTCATAAATGTTGCTCATCTTCTTCATTCTGTTTTAGGCAAGAAAAAGAAAAAATAGATGCCAATCACCACAGTATTTTTCAAAGAGAAGCCTCCCAGTCACCCTTCAGGAAAATGTTCAACACACACCATCGAGTACTGAATATATTAATTATCTAGCTTTCCACAGCAAAGTCAGAGTTCCAGTGAAACAAACAAACAAACAAAACCAAAAGAAAAAACAACCAAAATAACCAATATGTGCTAATGCACTTGGCTAAGAACACTATTTTCTTATATGATTTGCATACATTTGCATCGTAAAATTTTTAGTCTGTGAAATAATATTAACGAATTAGTGCAACAGACTGCAAACTGTAATCCAGTTCTATATTAAGTGCATGGCTTGTGTGAAATTTTACAGAGTTGTTGGTTAATCAGCTTAGTCACATTCCAAGTTGTTCAGATTCCTCCCAAATCCAGCTCTTCTTTTCCTTCTGTGTGATGGCACAGAGAAGGACATTGTCTGACCTGAAGAAACAGTCCAAATTTCCCTTCCCCAAACCCTGACTCCCTTTCTCAAGGTGCTTTCAGCAAACCAAGTCCAGGAGAGACCCAGCATCTGATCTCCTGCCTCAAGTGCATTAGTCCATTCTCTCCTTTCCCTTCCCTGCTCCTGCTACCATGTCAGAAATGTGACTGTGACCATTTGAAGGAGAGCACAAAGCCTAACCCATGGAAACAGCAGCCACAAGTAAGTACTGCAGGCCTCCTTCCTGTCCTCACATGGTCACCTTTCAATGACACTTTGCATCACCAAGGCCCAGGGCTACAGGGAACCCCCAGAACCCTCCAACACTCTCCTTCTCAGAGGAGGGCTGGGACTGTAAGGACATCGACAGAGCCTCTCAGGGGTGAAATCAATATCCTTCTCATGAAATTCTGTTTCCCTGTAGATTCCCTATGAGAAACGGCATTGGTGTCCCACAGTGGAATTTCTTCATCTATAAAATGAGGATAATCCATCCTTCTCCCTTCCCTTCTTCCACAAATATTCAGTGAGTCCCCTTGGTACCTGGCAACATGCTAGGTTTGAGTACACCACAACCTCTTAAACACACACACACACACACACACACACACACACACACACACACACACACACACCAGCTGGTCTCTCCAAACTTAGCAGCTAGCTCCATGCCAAAGCCAACCTTTTCCAACCTGATAATGCGCCTCCCTCATGGCAGATGTCACTGGAATTTTCTCTCCCAATGTTCCATCACAAGGCTCTCTGCCCTCCCTCCCTTCCACATTCCAACTCTCTAGTTCCCTATTTATCTAATTATTATGAACACATGTTTTTCCCTATATATGCTGAAGGGAAGTTGCACTGAATACCAGAAAGTTATCTCCTAGAACAGACGTGGACAAACTATGGCCTGTGTGCCCAATCTGGCTTGCCACCTGCTTTGATACATAAAGTTTTGTTGGAACACAGGCCTGGTCATGCATTTACATATTGTGTGTGGTTGCCTTAATAGACTGCAGCTCAGAGTATTTGCGACAGAGGCTGCATGGCCTGCAAAGCCTGAAATACCTACTCTCTGGCCTCTTCAGAAAATGTTTCCCAGTCTCTGCTCTAAAATATCAGGTAAGGGGAGTTTGCAGTTGGAAGGAGTTGGGATTCTCTTTCAATATGTGCTGTGGGATTAGTCTGAGGGTGAGAGTTGCTCTACCCTCTATCATACTGAATATTAATAGGGATTTGGGGACACTTGTTTTTTTACATACAAGAAAATCCAAGCTGAGAGGGGACTGGAACCTTGCCCATGTCACACAGTTATTCTAATGGAAGAGCTAATACTGAAATGCCAGTTTTCTATCTTTTAGCCCATACTATTTTTTACCATATGTAAAATGTTGGCTGGAGAATTGTTTGAATCTACAAAGTAACAGCGGATATGACAATATCTTGATTTATTTCAACCTCCATGCAGAATCATTCTATTTTTAAACAAATTTTATTCATATATAGAAAATGCACAAATCATAAGTGTACAGCTTAATAAATGATGGTTCCTCTATTTTTACATATTGTGAGCAGACCAATCATTAGAGCAACATAGAAGGCAGAGCATATGTGAACTTCAGTTTATAAAAAAGTGCACAGAGAAGGAATAGACTAGTAGGAGGATGGTTTTGTATCAGGCAGTGTTGGAAAAAATGCTGTGAACTCTCTATCAACTTTTTGATAAGAACAGCTTATCCTTCCTGAGTTCTGCTTTCCCAAAGCATTAGTTGGCTCCTTGGATCCACACTGCTCTTCTGAGTTCTGAGTGACCTCTCCTATCTCTGGGAGGCATTGCTACCCCATCTAACTGGCCCTATCCTTACAGGCTCATGGCCATGTCCATCCCCTTTCTCCCTCTCTCTTTTTCTTAAGGACTATTTTCTATTTTAGGTTCATAGCAAAACTCAGAGGAATGTTCAGAGATATCCCATATGCCACCTTCCTCCTCCATTACCTTCGTTACAATCGGTGAACCTCCACTGACTCATCATAATCACCCAAAGTCCATAGTTCACATCAGGGTCCACTCTTGGGGTTGCACATTCCATGAGTTTGGACAAATGTATAATAACGTGTACCCCCCATTATAGTACCATACAGAGTAGTTTCACTATCCTAACAATCCTCTATGCTCCATTTATTCATCTCTCCCTAACTCCTGGCAACCACTGATCTTTTTACTGTCTGCATAGCCTTTTCCAGAATGTCACAGAGATGGGAGGCTTTTTAGGCTGGCTCCTTTCATCCAGGACCCACTGACTCCTTTCTGTATAACACAAGCTTGCCTATAGAATGGAACACCTGCTCTAATGCCAAGTATTAATTGTGGGATGTTATGGAAAAAAGACTCAAGGAGACACACCGTTCCTTCCAGGGTCAAATCCTGGCTCCTTCACTCACTATGTAACCTTGAGCAGGGTTCTTAACCTCTCTTGTAGTAATACCTACCTTGAAGAGTTGCTATGAAGGGCAGATGAAATAATACACGTAAAGTGCTTAGCACAATGCCAGGTATACAGTAGATGCTTCAAAAGTAGAGCTATTATTATTGTAATCTGACTGCACTCAAGATTAAATCACTCATTCTCCCACTGCCAACTGGAACTCTCTTAGATTTTCTTGCTATTACTCCAGGATTAAGATTCTACTTGACCCCTTAAATACATTCTCTCTTTGCAGCCCACACAGTCTGGGCATAACACTCTCCACCTAAGAGCACACAACCACCTCTCAAATCAGTAGTTTTTCTGAGGATTCATACACGTTAGCCGATCAGAAGGCAGATAGTAAAATATAAGTGACAATCTGATCACATAGGCCAAAAGCTGTCTAAAATAATTTAAAACTATTAGGAAAGCTTCTCAAAATATGGACTTATGCCATAACCATGGATGATATATCCTAAACTGTAAGTGTACATAGTACTCTGAGATATTATTTAGTAGTAAATTTAAATCGTTTATAAATGAATAAACGAAATTGGGGCACATGTTCAGAGACTTTTTTTAAACCAGTGGGGTATATGATCTAAAAATTTTTATGAATCATTCTTTTAGGCAAACACTTGGAGGATTTAGAGTTGGGAAAATAGACATGATGAAATAATCGTTTGATAAAAATTAATCTAGTGACAATACGATGGTTGGACTAAGGAGAGAAGAAAGCTTATGATTGTCAAAGGGTGGTCATTATTTATTCCTCCTTTTTTCATCGATTTCACCCCCCCCTTCTTCTTCTGCTCAAGGACCTAAGAGGCTGACCTCCACTGAATGACAGCTCACTGTTGGCTAGCCTCCTGTGCTATGGTCTGAATGTCTGTGTCCCCCCACAAAATTCATATGCTGAAATCCTAACCCATGAAGGTGGTGAGATTAGGAGGTGGCGACTTAGGGAAGCGATTAGGTCTGAGGGTGGAACCCACATGAATGGCATTAGTGCTCTTACAAGAGAGACCACAGAGCTCCCTGGGCCCTTCTGCCATGTGAGAACACAGTGAGAAGAGAACCCTCACCCAACCATGCTGTCACTCTGATTGGGATGTCCAGCCTCCAGAAATGTGAGCCAAACCCCTATATGACCCAGGTCCTGAAAGGCAACTCCATCTCCAAGGTTCTCACTTCACTTTGGGAGTACTGTTTCTTCCTTTGGCTCCTTCAGGCTTACACTCATTCTAGAGTTGGGCAGGCATAAGTCCTTAGGTTTGGTCCCTGCCACCCACTAGCTGAGAACAATCAGTCAAGTCTCCAGAAAAAGCACAGCTGTGAAACATTCACAGCCAACACTCATATCCACTGGGCACTGGGGTATGGATATACTAACTTGATAAAGAGGAATTGGGCAGAGCATCAACAGGGTCTATTTCACCACAGTGGTTAGTCTCCTTTAGATCAGGGACTACTTCTTATACTTTACCCCAATAGTGTTCGCCTTGATAATATTTGTAGACTGGTGATGAAACCACTACAAATCCTGACTTTTGGGGGCACAGGATATAGGCCATGTCCATGCACAAATGAAAGCCACACCTAGATGGACATATTGGAGATCATGAGTTCCTCTGGCTGTCCAGAGGTAGCAGCAGTCCTGACCTTGATTTTGGAGGTGGTATATAGGCCAATGAATTCAGACTGTTTGGCCTTGGCCCAGCTGAAGCTCACTGCTGAAAGGTGATCACAAACTACGGCTCTGTCAACCAGTGATCAGCTACATCCGGCCCCAGATAAGTGGAGTAAACAAGTAATTTCACACTCTGTTAGAGGACAGGATTAATATGGCCAGATTATCAATACATTTTCCATGGCCTATTTAAATCCTTTTGTTGCCTTTCATACAATAGCCTGGTTTTACAGAGACTAATGTCTGCTGAGAATTATTTTGATGAAAGCTGACTTTTGGCCAATTTTAGAAGCATATTATAATTGTCCTTTCACTTGGATAATTTAAGTTATAAAAAACCACTCCTTTAGCATATCCAC